ACGGACCCGGTCGAGAGGTTTGAACTTCCGAAGCGGTGAGCATCCCGGCTGCGTATTGGCACGGCTTTGCAACTCGTTCTTTATTTTCCCGGTTCTTTCAACTTGTCCGCCAGCCATCTGGGACCGTGGCAGACGGTTGCGGTGAAGTCTATCTCGGTGCCCAAAGCCAGCGCTTAGTACCTTGTCGCAACACTCGGCCGCCCCAGTTCGTGTTCGAGACCCCGAGTACGTACGGTACTATCGCGAAATTTCAAAGTTAGGGCTACAGTACTCCGAAGAAAGGAACAACTAACGACAAGACCTACACTACTTGGGAAGGCGTCACCGGAAGGCCACATCGGGGAGCCTAGTACTGCAAAAATCAGACGCATCACCAAAACTCCTTTGTCAAAGAACGGCCAAGCCACGGGACCGTTTAGACCTTGAAAAGACCCAATTGGAACGTTGGAATATTCGAGGCTTTAGGTCTAGGAGGCTTTTCAATAATCAGCTGCTGCTCACCCAGGACACCCTATCTCGTGCTATGACATCGGTCCTACCCTGAACCTGCAGAGTGGCATCAGCACATGCAAACTGGGCAGCAAAATCTACACCTACCTTCTCTACGACGTCAACAGCCTCGCCAGTGTAAGTGATCCCTGACCCCTTGACTTTTCTAAGGTTTTGTTCTGCGGCTCAGCTAGGCCTGAGCTCGTGAGAACCTCATGTTTTGGCCAGGGACTTTCAAGTGGCGGTGCGTCACTGCATCCTCGCATCCCCAATCGTGCCGATTTGTCCAGGAACATTAACATCGATTGCTAGGAAGAGGTTGTTCTTTGAATCTTCGAACCCAGAAACGGGTCTTCTTTCATGACCTCATTGGATCAGTGCCACCCAGATCCGGGCCGTTTCAACCAGGTCCACGGCCCTGAAGACGCAAAATAACCCCGCAAGCGATCCTCTCGGGCCTATCACACAAGGCGCCCTGAGCTGACCTGCCCCGCATCAACGACCATGATTTCCCGCATCCGAGAGGTACCTCTACCTCTACCTATGCAAGCCGACGATGCGTCGTCCGCAAGCTTCACAGGCGGCGCCGTGCGGGATATGCCCGGTGTAACAAGGCGGCGGCGCTCTGTAAATTCTAGCACGGCGCCTGACCCCGCGGCGGCACACAAAGCTGGTGTCCAGGCTCGTGGCTCTGCTGACGACTCACGTTATCATCACGGGCCGTCCAGAGTTGAAAGCAGCCTAGACTATTGCACAGAGGCAAGCAACCCCAACAGCTCCAAATCACGCAGCAAAGAAAAAGAGGCCCGAAAGAGGCAGACGGGTGCCGGTGCCGATATTCCCTCCAGCCCAGGCAGCCGTCCCTCGCCTAGAGCTGCCGTCTTCACTCGCTTTCGTTCCACCGGGCCAAGTGCAGTTAGCAAATCGCAAGCGAAACGCGAATGGTCCCAGAGTTGCCGTGGTGTCCTCACCAGTCTGATCCGTGTGCTTTCATCGTCAGTGGTTTTTTTGGCAGTCGTTTTTGTAAGTACCTCTCATTGCTTTCCTACCTACCTAGCGCTTTCCTTCAGTCGGACCGTTCCAAGTATACTCCTTACCGGCATTTTGCCTTGGACTGCACCTAAGTACCTAGCGAGAAGCTCGGGCCTGCAGCGGAACCAGCCAGGAATTTCCGTTTCAAAGCCCCCGGCCGGCCCAAGACAGTGGGCATGGCACTTGCTACCTCTATGTACTTTCGGAGTTACGTACCGAGCAGGACAAGTGCAGGCAGCTTTCCTGCTTGTTGGGTTCAAGTCGGCTCCGTCCACAAACCTGACATGCCGCGGATTGCATCCAAAATTTACCTGGCTGGAACCACTGCGCGCGGTACCCATCAGACCTCCACTGGGCGGGCATTTGATCCAATGCCCCTGGTACCCCACCGATTATGCCCCTCCACGAGCATCCCACCTAACATCATACCGTCACGGAGGATTCCCCACGGAGAAGCACTCGCATCGTACAGGAAATCGTCCACCACTACCAGTGCATATATTAACCTGAACTCCCCAGGTTCTCCGGGCTCTCCTCCCCGACTCGGCACTTCATTATTCTTCCTTCTTATCTCGACAATCCACTTTGACTCCTCTCACAACCAAGGCCACGTTTTCTCCCCCGGCCCTCTCGCAACAAGCACACCAACCACAACCACCCGCAGTGTGCGAGATTCATCCCCCATTTCCCACAACCGCCCCAGTCTCGAGCCCGCTCACTATGGCCCTCGAGACCCAGACAAAGACCGTTGTCGGTCAGTTCGAGTATTCGGACGAAGATGTCAATAAGGGTGTCGCAGAGTTCCTTCGTCAAATGGGTAGGTGGTCCCATCGCCGTAGACAAATGCCGCAACAAGCTCTGACAAATTGAGGATTGCAGCCGAAGGTCTCGAGAAGGATGGCGCTAGCATGAGCCAGATTCCCACATATGTCACCGCCGTCCCCAATGGCACTGAAAAGGTTGGTTATACACTGCTGACAAGTACTTGCATCGATGGCTAACCTCCTCTGATCGTAGGGTCTTTACATGGCTGTCGATCTCGGTGGCACCAACTTCCGCGTTTGCTCAATCCAGCTCAACGGCGACACCACCTTTCGTCTGACGTACACCAAGGTCGCTATCCCCAGAGAGCTCATGGTTGCCAAGACCGCTGAGGAGCTGTTCGCTTTCTTGGCAAAGCAGGTCGAAATCTTCCTCAGGACACATCATGGAGAGCACTTCGAGGCACATATCCGCAGACGCATGACCATGAGCTCCCCCGAGGGCTTCAAGGACGAGAACGTCTTCCGTCTCGGCTTCACATTCAGTTTCCCCGTCCAACAATTGGGTATCAATAAGGGTACGCTCATTCGCTGGACCAAGGGTTTCGATATCCCAGACGCCGTTGGAAAGGACGTTTGTGCCCTCCTGCAAACGGAGATTGACAAGCTCCATCTCCCCGTCAAGGTCGCTGCTCTCGTCAACGACACTGTTGGCACTTTGATGGCTCGTTCCTACTCTTCCCCTGGCAAGAGCGGTGCTATCCTCGGTGCTATCTTCGGTACTGGCACCAACGGAGCTTACGTCGAGAAGCTTTCCAACATCAAGAAGCCCCTAGCCGGCGAGTACGATAAATCTACCGGAGAGATGGTCATCAACACTGAGTGGGGTTCGTTCGACAACCAGCTCAAGGTCCTCCCTAACACACCATGGGATGTCCAGCTCGACCTGGCCACCCCCAACCCCGGTATTCAGATGTACGAGAAGCGTGTCTCGGGCATGTACCTCGGCGAGATCTTGCGATTGACGGTCATTGATCTGCTTAAGAACCCAGACGTTGCTCTCTTCAAGGACGATAACTCGAGCTACAATGACTGGAAGTCAACTACCAACATTGCCGAACACTCCCCCATCTACAAGCAGTGGGGTCTTGATACCTCGGTCCTCTCTGTCGCTGCCGCTGACAGCACCCCCGAGTTGTCGATCCTCCGTCAGGAGCTCGAGGCCAACCTCCACATTTATGCCCCCTCTTTGGAGGACGCTCAGGCTTTCAAGGCCATTGCTGGTGCTATCGGTCGTCGTGCTGCTCGTCTTTCGGCTGTTGCTATTGCTGCCATTGTTTTGCAGACCGGCAAACTCAACGACCCCGAGCTGGACGAGCCTATCGACATTGGTGTTGACGGAAGCTTGGTCGAGCACTATCCCTACTTCCGTGACATGATCTACGAGGCTCTCCGTGTCATCAAAGGCATTGGTGAGGAGGGTGCCAAGCGGATCCGTATTGGTATTGCCAAGGATGGATCTGGTGTTGGTGCCGCGTTGATTGCTCTCGTCGCCGCTCGCATGGAGAAGAGCACTTCCACAGCCGACTTCATCAGCGACCTGCGTCTCAACGCCAAGAAGACCGACTTGACAGCTGTGCCTGAGGATAGCGAGCTTGCCGCCGGGGAATAGGAATCCACAAAGGCAGCTTGTCCATTGCCAGGCATGACATCACTGACATGTCGCAGAAAGAGGTGCATTGTTATGTGAACATGGCTTAGCGCAGGAAAGGAGTTTGGGAGTGAAGGTTGACATAAAAAATGTGTTAAGCGAAGAGCAACATTTGTGTGCTGTGTAAGGATGAACGACAATGGGACGAGGAACCTGGAAAGGGATATGAGGTTCACATAAATATTTCAATGTTCTTCCTTTGGTATGGTTGATTGGGCAGGCGTCACTGGGTTAGGGTTTATCGCATTAGGGAAACCCCCAAGGCATGGATGGGCTTTGAATTTATATTTTTCTCTTTTATCATGAAATGGCAGTCGGATTGGAACGGAGAGATGTTTTCTACTGTATAACAAAAAGACTATCAACCAGCGAAGTTGTAATTTTTGAAATACCAGTTGTTCCTCCTCTCAGTTTTGCGTTATCCCTTTATCAATGATGGCATTTTGCAACAGTAGCCAACTCTAAACAACGGCTTTGATCCGAGTTCTTAGGTGCTGCTCAAGCCAATGGTGGGAGCACAGGAAATCCAAACTACAGTTGTTTTTTCTCGGGAGGTACTTGGAACGAACTGGACAATTAACACGACGCAAAGCGATGATGTGGTTTTCTTTGACCTCTTATCTTTCTCTTGTTCGGAAGAAACAATGCCCGACTTAGTTCACACCTCGACTATACCAAAATCAAACACCCACTTCTGACGAGGCATACCAGTTTTAGCAACGACATCCTGGTTCATCCTTGCATCACTTCAAGAGGTTTATAACAACCAACCAAGTTACTCCCAACATTAACTAAGTTACTTCCGCTTCTATAGGAATACAACAACACGTTTTCTACGTGTCTATATTTGAGCCACAATTCTTTTGAAATATATAGCCAAGGTAGGCAATGAATGCCGTCTCATCGGAGCTCCTCTTGGAAACTCTTGTCTGATTCAAGTCCGGGATTTACCCACCCCGATTATGCCCCACAGTATTTCACTACCCTTTATTTCAATTTTTTTTTTTCTTTTTCAAAATAGTATTACCTCTATAGCAGCATATATCTCTCCCATCCCATCTCCACTACGTTTGTTGTTATTACTTGGTCTGTAGCAATCAGAGGGCGGCAGAAGACGAAAGGTACTACAAGGTCAGACAAACAACATTCCCTACTGCCCAAAAGCAGCACTAGGATACGCCCTCCCCTTCTTCTTCTTCGGCGCCACCGAACTACTCCTCGAGCTAACCGCACTAGTGGCCCCCGAGGCTGTCGCGCTGGCACCGGCACCAGAACCACTACCGGGAACGTTGAGCTGGACCATCTCCGGCGGCAAGTCGTTCCATTCGGTTTCCGGTCGCGTGTTTTGGTACGACATGCCGGTTGAGGGGCGGCTGAGGGGTGGCCTTGTTGCTGTTGTCGAGGGAGGGGCCAAGGCTGGTGTTGAGGCCGATGTTGATGTTGACGAGCTCGGAGGAGGTCCTACCGGGGATTTTGGTGGTGGTGTAGTCAAAGAGGGTAGGTTGACAGCAGCTGCTAGGACGCCCGTGGCCGTGGCCGAGGCGGTGGCGGTTGTGGCACTGGAAGCCATGATCATTCCGGTGGGTTGTTGTTGTTGTTGTTGTTGGAGGAGGCGGTTGGGGTTTCGTTTCGGTAAAGAGTAGTTCGCTGCCCCTAACGGTTCTTGTGCTTGTGCTTGTCGACCGTGTTCTCCAATGTCTCTACGCACAATCCAAGCCGTGTCCGGTCGTAACTTGAAATAATACCCCCTCACTGGGTCGCGACCTTCGGTCCGGAACCCTCGCTGTCCGTACCACTGGAGTCCTTCCTCGTTTTCGGTCCACACGTGGGCGTAGATGGTTCGCACGTCGATGGTAGAGCCCGCGGCTGGCAGAATCGAGGCGCTAGCGATGATGTGTTCAAGCGCGGCGGCGGCCAGACCGAGGGATCGGTAGGGGGAGAGGAGGGCGAGCGATTGAATGTAAATGGCGTGGTAAGGGTAGTCGGCGGGAGCTGATGGGCCAGACTGGTTTTGTTGTATTCGGGGAGCCTGCGGTTGCCCGTTGGGATCTAAGAAAGGGTTCGGTTCGAGCCGACAGACGACGCCGCCAATGACTTTGGGCTCGGAAGTAGGGTCGTCGCTCCAGAGGATGACGCGCGAGAAGAGACCTGAGGCAAGCGGTTCGAGGACCTTGGCGTAGAAGGCGTCTGGGTAGGCGACTTGAAGGAGGAGCGAATTGATCCGGCGTAGGGCGGCTATGTGGTGCTCGGCCACCGCGACTATGCTGGCTTGCGAGGGGATCGACGGTGGGGATGGGAGAACGGGGATGTTGGCCGGGAGAGTAGCCGTGACGGGCACAAGGCCGGGACGAGCTGGAACTTGTTGCGGCAGTGGAGCCGAGGTGAGAGAAGAGGGAGGAGGAGGTGGTGGTGGTGGTACGGGGGTTTTCGGAAGCACGCTTGCCGTTGTTGCTGCACCGTTCACGCAGTCTTGAGGGGGAGGGGCATGTTGAGGTTGTTGTTGCTGCTGCCGGGGTTGGAAGAATGACAGTATCGAGGGTTGTTGACCACGCGACATGCTGAAAGTAAGTGGAAACCGGGAAAGCTGAATTTACAAAGAACGATAAGTGGGAGAGCGGTATGAGTAAAAAGAGAGGGAAAGAAAGGCTGAAGGAGGAAAATGACCAATGTTGCCGTGGTCACGACGAGGGGAGTGTAAATAACCGTCGTGTCAGTCATGAAGTCTGGCCCACCAGCACATGTCGCAGACGCATTTTAGAAGACATTCAGGGACACCACCATTGTACCCCTGGCCCACCCGGCAGCGATACCTACACTACATAGTCGTAGTGTACACACAAAGGATGGGCAATGATCCAGACCAGGCTTTTTTGACACCTTGTGTCGCCCCACATGTAATGGCAACACACGACGGGAGGATGAAGAGGCGGAATGCACTCCGCGTTCATACCTTGAAAAAAAACTGCACGTGCTTGGTTTTGGAGGGCTTTCAATGATGTTCTGTGTGTATGAGATGGTCGGGTGGTTCGGAAACCGAGGCATATGCCCACCTTGGACGGCTTCTATAAGACAATTCCCATGCAACAACATTGAGTTGTATGTACCGGGCCAGACAGTAGTCCTTACCTCTGTCACTCATAGTAACCAATGAATGTGAGTCTAACTCGCAGCCCAAATATCCTGTCTAAGGGAACCGACAAAGCCCAGTCGCGGTATCGATGTGTTGTAGTATGGAGATAACATGGAATAACACTGAAATTCAGGTACCGGCACAAGCAACCACCCAAGGCGTCCGCGGCAGGCACGAAGACACGACCAATCCCGGGCCGCGGCGAGGTGGAAGGGAGCATGGAAACTGCTCTTACTTCCACTTCCCTTCCTTGGCTGGTTGTAGGGTAGCCGCCTGATGGACTCATATGCTCCACTGTCAGCCAGTGCTCACACGCCTGAAGCCCACTACAACTTCTGCATGGACACAACTACCACAAAACCGCGACCTGCCGAACATCGCCGTGGATGGACATTTTTCCCATCAACCAAGCTTTGGGCAGGAAATTCCGTCACCACCTACATATCGAACACCACTCCATCTCACGGGCATATCGGCTCATTTACGGCTTCCGAACATATTGCGGCTTAGTCAATTGAACATTGCCACACAATACCGGTCCCAGTCGGTATTTAACCTTCCTGCCCCCATCACCACTGAAGGCTTTCGAGAACGAACACGCACCACTTAGTGCAGTTGACGGTTTCGGCTTGCTGCAGCCGAGTTGAACGACCCGTGGATGCTTCAAGGCCACTTCTTCGTGCGTGGACCAAAGGCTCGTTCCGATCAGCACCTGAAAACCGAAAACTACCGGCGAACGGCATCTCCCACCCGCTACGCCAGTCGAACTCCAACTTTGGCTCGGCCTGCCCTGCATCACCCGAGCCTGGAAGGGTGAAGAGAGTCGCGACAAATCCACTACTTCCACACGTCACGCGAGGACCATCTCATACGACAGCTGCCAAATACTCACCGGCTATTCCAGGGGTGTCGATCAGTCCCGATCTAATTTGGGAGGGCGTCTGTCATTGTCAAGATGTCGTCAGAAGGGGACAGGACCGGCAAGGCTGGTATTGTCGTTGCCCCTGAAGATGTCGGGAGTGTAGACAAGCTCGTAAGCATTTTTGCATCGACCAAGATCGAGCCAGAGACTTGTACTGACCCTTTCTTGTCCTCCCTGTAGGCATACTCCGTTGTGGATGATTTGCTTTACAATATCCTTCACGACCTAGTCCTCAAGGTACACCAAGACGAAAAAACCGCGCGGATGAGAACGGCGGCCATCAAAGTCGAAAAGCTCGCTATGGAGAACTCCGATCTATCGACCCCTGATGCACGGCCCGAGATTGTCGTGGAAACCGACGCTGCTCTGTACAAGGACGGACACGTTACGTTGAAGGGCAATCCGCTAAAGACTACAAAGGAGATTTTGTGTCCACGGTGTCAACTTCCCCGTCTGCTTCATCCTACAGATGGCAAAGGAGCCCAAAAGCCAGACCCAAACGTTACTTATTGCAAAAGGCACCCCTATATTGAAAAGCCAGGCTTCGACATTTATGGACAGACTTGGGTTCAGCCTGGCCCCGGCCGAGGAAAGAAAAAGAAGGACATGGAGAAAAAGATGGACCCCAACGATCCTGCAGCCGTGGCAGCCATGGAGGGAAGTGCCAAGGACCGCCCGCCTAACGTGCTCAGCTTTCCCAGCGCTACTTGCTCCAAGTGCAAGCGTTGTATCCTGGTGACACGTCTCAATAATCACATGGGCTCCTGCATTGGCAACAGTGGGCGAAACGCTAGTAGAGCAGCGGCTCAGAAGATTAGTAACGGTGGGAGCAACGGTGGAAGTCAGAACAACGACAACACTCCGCCAGCAAGTCAAAAGGGGACGCCCGTACCAACGAGCCGGGCAACTAGTCCGAGGAAGCGAGACGGTGATGAATTTGACGAGGATGGAGATGAAGCTGATCCTATCAGTGCTAAGAAGAAGAAGCTCAAGCCGACGGCTCTACCCAAGAAAGTCATTTTGAAGACCAAGTCGACGCCGCCCCTTAAGAAGGACAAGATAAAGACCAGTTCGATGCTGAGCGTCGAGCAGAGCGTGGATGACGATGACGTAAAGAACTCCACCGTTCAGGTGGTTCCCAAGAAGACGACACCGGCAAAAGGCGCATCTCCTGTTAAGAAGCTGAAGATCGGACTAGGCACAAAGCCGCAGCTCAATGCTCCGGGGAAGAAATTAGGGAAGAAAGAAAAGGATCACGAGACAGAATCAACGGGAAGAATGTCTTCGCCGCCTCATTAGATCTGGGAGGTGCCTGACTCTAACTGACTCAAACACTGACTAACGATGGACTGTTTTGGTAACCACGGGAGGAACCAAAAAAAATGTTTTGGGCGTTACCTATACACACATTTATACATTATACCCCATTCTTGTCCCAAAAATAGACATTGCTCAAAGACATTGCTCAAGGATTGGAAATCGGACAGAGCCCTTAGATGATAATCGAGATGCCGCATACCGACCCAAGATATGTCAATCAAGTAGATTTCTGCCGTGATAGGGCAACGCACGTTGGTCAGACCAGGATGAAATCAGAGTTACCTGGTCACACGTTTCTCTTGTCTTTCACAGCTGTGTAATGCATGTAAATTGCCTGAGAAGATGAGGTCGACCGTGGGGCCTTTGGTATATCCCAACTACTGTAAATGAGCGCAACAATGCGGCAGCTCATTTTGACTAAAAAGTAGTTCAGCGAGCTCTCCAGGCCCACATGCACTTGAACTCCTCACCCCCCCTTTTCATCCCTGATCTCAGTCCCTCACTCACTCCCCCCGTCGACGTCAAGCCTCCATATCCTCCTCCCTCACCACCCTCGCCTTCACAATCTTCACCTCCGTCGCCGGCCGATCCTCCTTATCAGTCGGCACCATGCCCATCCTTCTGATAACCCCCATCCCCTTCTTCACGCGTCCAAAAATCGTATGCTTCCCATCCAACCAAGGCGTCGGCGCCAGCGTAATGAAAAACTGGCTCCCGTTGGTATTCGGGCCCGCGTTCGCCATGCTCAACACCCCCGCGCCGGTATGTTTCAGGCCAGGGTGGATCTCGTCTTCGAATTTCTCGCCGTAGATGGAGGAACCGCCCCGGCCGGTCCCCGTGGGGTCGCCGCCTTGGATCATAAAGTCCTTGATGATTCGGTGGAAGACGGTGGAGTCGTAGTACCCGCGGTCGGCAAGAGTGGCAAAGTTTTTGCACGTTTTGGGGGCGTGGTTGGTGTAGAGTTCTAGGGTGAAGGTGCCCTGGAGGGTGGGTGGGAGAAGGAGGGTTAGAGTTGAGGATGAATGAATGGGTGAGGTGAGGTGAGGGAAACAAGGTAAGGTACCATGGTGGTTTCAACAGCGACGTCGGTGGCCATTTTTAATAACAGGTATTGATGGCTTTTTATCGTAGATAATCAGTTGCGGTTTGTTCGTTGGTGGTTGTTTTGTGAGTTTAGTGTTTGAGCTCACTTGGTTACTGTTGGTTGTGATTAGAGACAGAATTATTTTGAGAGGTATGAGAAGGGTGGGGGAGATGGTTCATGGTTGTGGCTCGATCAGCGTATGGGATAAAGACATGCGGGTGGATTGAGAAGCCAAAAATTATATGCCATACATATTGATTTCAATAATCTGAAATACCTGGTCTTGTATGTGAAATTCGTTGTCAATGTGAAATTGTAAAGTCGTCCTTCGACAAGGTTCTGAACAAGTCAATGTTGATGCGGCGACATTCCATGATATGGTCAGTGCACACGTTCCGGAAGCCTTACCAATACAGTTTGATTACATTTGGGCACTGTCTGTCTTCGCGGGTTAAGTGCCAATTTGTGCGATTGTCGCACAGTGCGATTTACTGTACACCATAGTGTAGTGAGCATCCGGTGCCATGTGAAATTAAGATTGAGGAATCGTGCTATTTGTAGTCCTTCTATATAGTCATACCCGTTGTAGAAGCGGACAGCAGTAAATTCAAAGAGTTGATTCTTTTGAAAGTTCCTGTACGATATGGAACACGTACATAAAAGCAATGCATAGAAAATATTGTGTACGAGCTACTGTCATAAACTAATGAAGTCACGCCTCGTTTTCAACAACTGTTCAACGTAAGACGTGAATAAATCATCTCTGCATTACACCAGTTATAGGAGACACCCGAACTCATCCTCTTGTTAACATTCAAGAACTCCACACGCTCAAACCTCCGTTTACGTATACTGTATCAAACCACCGTCCCTACTCTAGCACACGACTAAGAGACCGAGACCGCCACCTCGCCCAACGTCCCTTCTTCTTCTTCTTCTTCTTCACAGGACTCAAAGACGCCTGATCAAGCATCCCATCCAACTCATCAACAACATACTAAGCATCCTGGAAAATGGGCTCCAGACCCTGCCAAGCACTGGGGTCGCCATTCGGACCAGCCTTCGCGCGCCTGTTCCAGTACTCGCCGTTGAACTGCCAGTACTCCTCGCCTGTGATCTCGCACCGCGCCTTGGTGAACCACGCGGGCTTAAACTCCTCGCCCTTGCTCTCGCGCGCCTTGCGGCGCGCACGCTGGGCCTCCTCGAGTCTGTTCTTCTCCGTCGCCGCAAAGTCGTACTCGCCCTCTTCCATAGCACGCTGATCGGGGCGGAAGCGAGAATCCGTGGGGGCGAGCCAAGGCTTGAGGTTGTCGTCGAGGTGGTTAAAAGTGACGACGAAGGGAGTCAGGTTGAAGGGAATGCCGGTGGGACGGGGGTTAGCCTGCCAGATAAGGAAGGCCTTAGATGGGTCATTGATGCTGCCCTGATGGACCGTCTCGTTTCCGGACTTCTCCTCAATGGTGGCCTCGTAACCGGGTGTCAAGCGGGCATAAAATTTGGAGTTCCAGCGACCACCCAAGCTGACGCGGACCTGACCGTTGGCATCGAGGATCTTGCCACCAATCAGGTAGGCACTCGACTTGGTCCAACCTCTGGGCTTGAACTCGACGTAGGAAACCTCGCCGGTGGTCCAGTTTTTGATCTCCATCACACCGTAATTGTCAACCACGGGGTTACCGGTGATAATGCCAATGACGGATGAAGTGACCTTCTTCCAGGTGTAAAAGTCCTCCTTGCCGCCGGAAGTCGGCCTGAGCTTAAGAAACCAGGTACCGAGAGGGTTGACATCGAAGGACTTGCCGTAGAATTTGGACTTGACTGCCGATTCTCCGTAGTAGGTCCACTTGGGAGATTCGGCCCAGGCTGCACCGATGGGTGGGTGATGGCTAACCTGCTCAATGAAGAAGCGGTAGTTCTTGTCCGGTCTCACATACTCAAAGGTCTCACCAAGAAGTGGGTTGAACGGCTTAGCAACGCGGCCGATGGTGGATGCGTATTCACTGGCAGCGAAGGCGGAAACATAGATCAAACGCTCAATGGAATCAGCGCGATCAGCGGCTAGATCCAAGAGGTCGGCGTACTCCATGTCCTCAGCACAGCGGTAGAGGAGTGAGGTGGGCTCGTTGAAGGATACGGGCAGGGTCATCTTGGTCATGTCCTTGCCAATCATGGATTTGAGGATGCCCTAGACTCCACGTTAGTGCCATGTTTAATATCCAGACTGTTAATCCAAACTTACCCAGAGCGAGATAGTGGGTCTGTTGTCCGCATCCATCTTCAACTTGGTCCTGATACCGTTCTCGTATCCCTTGAACGAGTCACTGATATCTGTCCCATCTGAGATGACTAGCTGGGTATCGCTCTGCGAAGCCACAGGTTCCGAAGGGGGAAGCTGGGAAACTTCGACGGTACCGGCGTCGACCGCATCAAAGAACTCTTCCTCATCGGAGTCAGAGTCAGACAACTCTGCCACCTGATCCCTGATGGTCTTTTGACGGCGAATGCTCTGGACCGGCGACTGTGGTCTGGCATCAGCCTGTTCGGCGTCGGCCTCATCAGTGGCCTCGGCAGCAGCGGCAACAGTTGGTGCAGTTGCCTTCACTTGGCCCTCGTCAATAATGCCTGACCCAAGAGCTTCCTTGAGGATACGCTTGGTGATCTTCCTCTTTGCCTCGGCCTCGCCAACCCGAGCCTCCAAAGCTTCCTGCTCCCTGGCAACTTGGGCCATGCTTTCCTCCCACATCTGGCGCATTTCACTCTCGCGGTCAAGTCTGTACTGCCAGTACGCGTCGCGATCCTTGGAGATGCGCAGGAGGTCGCCGACAAGTCCCGTAAGAGAGCGGATTGCAGCATCATAGGTAGCCAGAGCTTGAGAGGCCTTGGGATCCGACAACCTGAGGTCGGAGTTCTTGTTGGTTTCCGCCATCAAGGCTGCGGTGACTTGTGCCATGGTGTCGAGCTGCAGTCTTGCAGACTGTGCAGTGATGTTGAAAGCATCTTTGTTTGCCGATGGAACATCCTGCCCGCTCGAACCCTCCCCATAGTCATCGTCATCGTCATCCGCGTGGTGATGCTCACCCTTGTCCGCTTCGGTTCCGGCATCGACAAAGTCATCCTCTTCGTTGCTTCCGTTGCCACTGGCGACGTAGGAGGCTCTGGACGCCCTGGCCGTTGAATGCATCCGAGAAAGCTGCACACTCTGACGGCGGTGCTCGACGAAACTAGCATTGTCGCTACCGGCGTCAGATACGCTATGGGCATGCTCCGCCTTTGCTTGCTTCAAGAGTTCGGCATTGCGGACGCGCTGTCTCTCTTCTTCTTTAGCCTGGTCCTTGGTCCATTGGATGGAGTTGTTGAGGGCCCAGAACCAACGCTTTGCCTCGACTTCGTGATTGGCCTTCAGAGTGTACTTGACCGAGTTTTTCCCTATAATTTCAAACTTGGTTTTCTCATCAGGGGTCATATGAAGCTTGGCTATGCGCATGTTAATAGCACCACGGCAGGCAGACCCTGCGTCATCCTGGTGCTTGTAGTAACTCAAGACGCCATCCTCCAGTACGAACCAACGAAGCTGGTATCCCTTTCTGTAGTTGGTCCACTTTTTCAGATATCCCTTCATCTCGCGAGCTTCTCTTCCCGCCATAGGATCACCGGACGCCGCAGCAGCTGCCCCATGTGTGGCTGATCCCAAAACGGCCTTCTCTTGAATGCCCCTCTGGGCAGCCACAGCAGCGGGGGACTTTTTGAGCATAGCCTTTGTAATCTCGTCCTTTGTGACATCCTGTGGGAGCTTGCCATTACGATCTCTGCGGAACGGGTCTGCTCCGTGCAGCAGTAGAACCTGCATTAGCTTTGTGTTTCTGCGACGCGCGGCTTCGTGAAGGAGCGTGCCGCCGCTCTCGACCGTGGCCGACTCGGCGGCGAATTCGGTGCTGTTAATGTCGAGGACGGTCTTGAAACGCGGCTCTTCCAAGACCTCCTCCAAAGTTTTAAAGTCGCCATGGAGGATGAGGTCCTGCACCTGCCGAACCTTGTCCTCGGCAAACAACGATCTGGCGAGCTGGAGTTGCTGAAAAATGTCAGGATTGCGAGCGAGATCGATGGGTAACCGCCCTTGATGGTTCGCGATCGCATCGTTGATATCCTTGTGCTCGAGGAGCTGACGAACGATGTGGGTTCGTCCCTGTTGGGCTGCAATGTGCAATGGGGTATTTCCGTCTTTGTCGCGAGCATTGATATCGAGGGAGCCAGCACCATCTGACAAGACGTACTCGACAACAGTCTGTTCGGCACACTGGATAGCCAAATGGAGAATCGTGGTGTCTTCGAGAGGGCCGGTAATGGCGGACGAAATGCTCATGCGAGGATTGTGCTCGGCAGTATCGCGGATGGCTCTGGAAATCGAGGCTGTGTCGCCGTTGCGAAGAGCTTCAACGATACGGAACTTGCGTACGGAGGACTCGAGAGAGGCCGCGGCCCCTTTGTCGAAAAGCATGGATGGCGACCTTGCTCCGCCGACGGAAGGTGTGGCTTGGTGGTTCGAGACCGTTCGGCCTAAGGCGCTGCCAGTGGTAGACAGTCTGGAAGAGTGACCTCTGGACGCCTGTTGGCTAGGGATGTGGATGTTCTGAGGTGTAGAATAAGAGCCGGACGCTCTCTGGCCGTCGTCGGAGGCCATGTCGTCGTCGACTGGCGGCTTGCGCCTGCTAAGGAGCGAGCGGGCGGCGGATTTGGATCGTTTGTGGAGGCTGCAACAAGATAGGTATTAGTTGATGTTGATGAGTGAATCAAGCTAGATCATCAACTGGCGATCGTTGTAGTTGCTGTGTCTGCTGCGTCAAAACTGAAGCCAGGGAGTGGGAAGGAAGCGACGGGAGCTTGGGAACTGAAGTAGCGTAAACAGGGCAAGCAAGATGCGGGCAGGTGGGGTGAACAGGATGCGGGTTGGGATGATGCTGCAGTCAGGCTGGTTTCAACCGCCCGAACCACAAGCAAACATGCACTCACCTTTCGCCGGTCTCAGACATTGCGATCGGAGTTTTGTGAATTAAAGGTGAAGAGGGACTGAATCAAGAAATGTGAAGAGAGTGTGAAAGTGTCGCTAGCACAGGTTACTAACCCCCGCACTATGGACGGGACTCGAGGATAAGGAAGGATAGACAGGGAAGACTGTTTGTTGAAGTTCCGTTGCAAGTTGCAACAGCAACACATCAACGTAAGAACAAGAAGTCCAGACCACCAGAGATTGTCGTCAGAAAAAGGGACCAGAGGACAGCTACGCTGCTTGGTATCAACAACGTGTTTCACTATGCCACTAATTATGAGACTCCGTATTGCGGGTCAAAGCATTGAGCAAGGAGCTTGGGTCTCTTGGGTACGGTTGCAGAAAAGACGTCCAGGGACCTACACCACATATCATGGGCGGAGGCAGAGTGGATATATTTCCAAGAGGACAAGGACCAAGACCAGCATGGCGGCGATGCCAATCCTAGCTCTCAAAAAGAAATGACGTTGTTCGCTTGCTTACTCGGGGGTTGCGGTTCGCTTTTGGCTGGCCAAGCTTTTCTCCCCCCTCTCCTATGGGGAGAGGGGGGAGAAAAGCTTGGCCAGCCAAAAGCGACCCGAAACCCTCGAGTAGTGGACGGACGCCATGCAGGACGGCGACAACAAGCGGCAGGATTCGTGCGAAAGGGCGGAATCATTCCAGTGCCACACACACACACACACACTTTTCCGATGTCAATAGAACCGGGGAAAAGGGACGTCGCTGCACGTGCATTGTGGTTTGTCTCGTGGTCTTTGATGAAACAGCCGCCCGTTCATAGGTTCAATTGCCTGTTCCAACATAACCGCCGTCTACTGCGGTTGCGAGCAAAAGTTTTACCTCCCTGTCAGGTATCTCACACAGACCACCACAGCCAACGCTTCGTGAGCACTATGTGGTCAACGACCTGGCCCACGGGTTTAACTTACCCATATCACCATAGTAAATGTGTAAGAGAGAGAGAGAAAAAAGAAAGAAAGAAAGAAAGAGTCCGCCAAGCCCAAAGCCCCACAGCAATGATGAGTGGGCTATCGTGGGGTTGTCCCAACTTCCATTGATTGACAGGTGATAACGGCGGGGGACGGGCGTTGTGATGAACTGGCAACGGTCAAAAAGGGGTACGCATCGTGTTGTGTCTGACCTCGGAGTATCGCCAAGTCTTGCCAATATGCACAGTATAGAGTCTTCAAACGGGGTCCTCTTGTAGTTGCATATCCAAGACCCTGGCTCCCCTTCCACCACTTCCTCCGTTGGCCGCGGCATTCTCGCGGCAATCGATACGACCAACCCAGACAACAATGTAGTACCTCGGCAATTATGGGACTTCCACCACGGCTGACCTGGCCTCCCCTTGGCTAATGATTTCTGTTGATACAAAACATTCTGCAATCAAATATCCATACTGTATTTCTTAACTTATACCGGTGGTGGTGATATTCTTCGATCCGTTATACTTTTACTCGGCTTGCTACCAATTGGTTTAGAAACAAGCCTGGTCTCATTGGCATCCTCAAGTGTTTACCATACTCTCTGTCGTCTTACATCTAGATCTCTTTACCGTGTGACATACACTTGACACTCTGGGCGTCACATTGTGCCCAACTTTTCCATCCCATCGTCATTTATAAATTTCAACACAATGGGCAAGTCAGAAGAGGAATCGAAAGAGGCTCCTCGCCCAACCCTTATTAGACCGCCGCCCGAGGACTTAAGCAAGGCGCCTATCGAGAACACTTTGGAGGTCACAGAACTGGCCGTGATCGGACCTGTAAGTCTGGACTCGTATGGTGACATCGCATCTTTCACGACGTATACGTCCCATGCACATGTCTCCCATATATACATTCAGCCCTGCATCACGCGTATCCATCGTTACCGTCACTGTAAACTGACTCCAAACGCAGAATATCTTCACCAATGCGCGCCAACCATGGCATCCCCCCGGTGCCCGCGGCATCTACGGCGGCGCCGTGATCGCCATGTGTCTCGCAGCCGGCCAAAAGACCGTCCCATCTGACTTCCTTGTCCATTCCATGCACTGCTACTTCCTACTCGCTGGCTCCGGCGAACTGCCCATCCTCTTCCACGTCGAGCTCGTCCGAGACGGCCGCTCCTTCGCCACGCGAACCGTTCAAGCGCGCCAAAAGGGCCGCTGCATCTTCACCACCACCATCTCCTTCGTCCGGGAGGGCTCTAGCGGGCCGCGGGGCAGTCAGGTCTCGCACGCCTCGTCCATGCCCATCGACGAGAAGACGGGCAAGCCGTGCCAACCGCCTCCGGACGACTATGACGGCGAGCCGGAGCTCGTCCGCTCCGGGCCCAATCCTTTCCAGAGCGCGCGGATCGAGGTCACCAACGCCGACAGCCCCCGTCCGCAGGACAAGAAGACGCGGCAGTGGTACCGAGCAAAGGGCAAGATTAGCGCCGAGGGAGGGCAACAGGCACATCTGACCGCCCTGGCGTATGTGAGCGACTCATACTTCATCGGCACCATCGGGCGCATCCACAAGCTGTGGCGGTTCCCCTTCCACCCGGAGGACTTTGACAAGCTACCCGAGGACGTGCAGGAGCGGGTGCACGCGCTGCACGAGTGGGAGGGCTTGGGACACCCCAAGGACATGGTGGGCCGGCCCGAGATCGGGATGATGGTCAGTCTGGATCATTCCATCTACTTCCACGAGCCGGCCAAGGTCAGGGCGGACGAGTGGATGCTGAGCGAGATGGAGAGTCCGTGGGCGGGTGATGGGAGGGGTGTGGTGACGCAGAGGATCTATAACAAGGATGGCATGTTGCTGGCTACGTGTGTGCAGGAAGGGTTGGTGAGGTTGGAGAAGAATCCTGGCAAGACTGACTCCAAGCTCTAGGAGTGCGGTGTGATCTGTGTGGATTCGAGTTAGTGAAGACAGCGATGCATTTTCCATGATAGACATTGAATGACATAACCCCTTTCCAGATTACCTAGCCTAGGCACCAGTCGCCATGGACCAGCGGGGGTATATGTAGGGTCTGTTACCTAGCCCTCTCAATACAACGGGACCCAGTAGGTAGTCCTATGGCTCAGTGGTTCTCGCGAATGAAGGAAGGCGTGGCAGTTTTCGTATAGTTGCAGCTGGGGCGTGGTTGTTCGTCCAACATACGTACCTGGCCGACTTAGCTTTATGGGGCGGGTTATGAAGGGTATGAGAGAAAGAGTATTGGGTTTTTCTTGTTAGTCTTGGGCTTTTGAGGGTTGGGAAATTGGTTTGTTTTGCCGTGTGCAGAGCGAGAATTAGGTCGGAGTAGAGAGTTGATGATGTAGTAGCCAAGCAGTCGCGAATTTTCATAAAGTGAGTTTGGCTTGTAACAGTTCCGCTGTCTGTTACATGCCACTTACGTTCATCACTTATATATACCTATCTCACTTACTATTTGCCGTTTCTCTCCACAGCCTACGCAACAACACCCAACTACAAGTGACATCTTACTAACATCATTATCATGCACACAACATGAAACCATCAACAAGGTGAACAAAGGAAAGTAATGTATTTTGGCTGAAGTAGATCTATCAGATCCCGAACTGTCCATCTTGGTGTAGCCTGTATTTGTTCAGACAGATATCTATCTGTCCTTAATCCCACGCACCATCGTAAAGGTTCAGGCTTGGTATTTCTCTCCGCTCCGGCTGAGGAGGAGAAGAAAGACTTTCAGCAAGGGAACCCTCAACAGCAATTTCCAGAAGCCCTTCTCCTCATCAGACAAGAGTTCCTTTCCCAAGCTGCTTCAACGGGCTGCCCCACTCTCGGCGCTATGAGGGGCTGATGTAATCGTCTCAAACTCTCTTCAATCTTCTCAAAGAAGGGTACTCAATCCGTCAACATCCTCGCTTCAGGTCGCCGCTACCTCTTCTTGGGGGCTTGACAACCATATCCTTCCAGCGGACTCGCATCGCCTCAGGCCCTTCCTGTATTGCGACAGGCGCACTTCCGGCGGAGAATCAACGCCTCCTCAGACAAGTTGTCGGAAACAAGAGGCATGGAGATCATTTCAAGTCGAGATGACGAGAAAAGACCGCAGGCCTTCCAGCAGGGAGACAGAGAGTGGTTGAAGGAGGAAACTGGCCGACTCCGCGGAACTAGCACAAAGCGAAAGAAACTACCAACTGCCTCCTCAGCCGAACTCTTGGATGTAAGAGCTCAAGACCTTCCAGCAGGAGTCTTCCGGGCCAAGTTCGACGCAAAGCCTCCTTTCCCGCTCGACGCAGGAAGTCGTCTCGAATGGTCTTCCGAGTCCCAGCTTTCTTGGGACCGAAACCGGTTTTCCAATGATCGCATGGCACATGGAAAAAAAAATAAAAATGATACGAAATCCTCCGGAGCAGGATAAATGATTCGCTCGACGCCGGTGTGATGCGGGTGGTTACATCCCGAGCCAGAATTCAGAACTCCGGCCCCCGGCTTCCTCAGAGGCCGGAAGCTAGCCAAATCCAGGATCAGGGAACACCTCCCATAAGGCGGAACGATTGTCGCTTTCGACGCTTTGGGCATGTTTTGTCGCTTTCTGACAACCACAAACCCTAGGCGGAGCGACGGAGCGCTCAGAACGCTTTCGGGTTTGCAAAACGGATTCGCCGCAGACTGGTTCTCTGTTCGCAACCCCTGGGCGGAACGCGGGTTGGTTTTTGAAACCGGTGTTTCGACTCGGTGCTCAACACCAGCTGGCGCATTGTTGAAAATGTACCGGTTGGCGGAACTGAGGAAACATGATGTGGTCGTCCTGGGTGCATCGACTTTTGAGATTGATGATGGATAAAGTCATTTGCCGGGAGACATGATGACTTTTGGTCGATGTGCTTTGGTGGAAGGCGGGCGACGATACCCCCGAAGGGAAAACAGTCGGGGGTATGAGGAGAGAAAGAGAGAAAGTGGTCAAGTTGCGGTGGACAGTTGGCTGCTTTAAATAGTTGTGACGGGAGAGTCCAGGTCCGGGCACGTGTGGATACCTGACCCGGATCTCCAACCGCGGCTCCCGGACTTGCATGATTGTGCGACCGGGACCAGCTTGTCAGCTCTGTCAGCTCGACTACTTTTCTCACTCATTATCACTGTTTCAGCTCCCACTTGTCTTGTCCCGTTCCTCCCGAAATCATCCCATATTCGTGCTTCAATTTGTCACGGACCGGTGAGAATGAGCTGATGTCTGAAACACACGACCAAAAATTCCTCCCCTCCTGCCCGAAGTAAACCGTCTCAAGAGCAACTCACAAATTCAAAACCCACCTGCAACTCGAACACACAAAATACCGAAAATGAGCGATAACAACATGTCGGAACCACCAAACAATCCCGTCTTAATCCAGTGGATCCTCGACACCCGGTCCTGGTTTCCCTCAGCCGCTAAGACCCGTGATCTTGAAGTCCATGTAAACAAACCCCTGAACCGAACATCCTTATGATCCCCGCGCGCGCCGCCGCCCTTCGCCCGTTCGCCGCAATTCCGAAACCGCACCGAAACTTCAAAAAACATGACATCAGAACCCACTAACTGACTCTCTCAATTCCCAGGCATCCCGTCCCCTCTCCCTCCTCACCCCTACCGAGCGCGCCTCCGTGCTCAAATACTTCCATGTCCGCGACGCCAAAATGGCGCTCGCCTCCGCTCTGCTCAAGCGGTACACCATCGCGCGCCTGGCAGGCGTGGCCTGGTCATCCACCACGGCCGGGTTCACGCGCGACGAGCGCACCACCAAGCCCATCTGGCGCGACCCTGCAACCGGTGCACAGCCAGTTGCCTTCAACGTGTCGCACCAGGCCGGAATCGTCGCGCTCGTGGCTGTGGCGGACTATCCCGGCTCGGGGGCGCAGTCGGAGGCGGGGGCCAAGGTGGAGGTCGGTGTGGATGTTGTGTGTACATCCGAACGCAGGGATCGCGATCAGGACTTGATTAGAAAGGAAGGCTGGGGCAGCTTTGTCGATATGCACGCTGATGTTTTCGCCATGGGGGAGACGAGTTATTTGAAATATCAGGTGTTGAGCGCTGTGCCGGGGTTGGTAGAGAGAGGAGGAGGAGGAGGAGGAGGGCCGCCGACGCCGGAGCAGGTGGCGGATGGGAAGCTGAGGGCTTTCTATGCGCTTTGGGCGCTCAGGGAGGCGTATGTGAAACTGACGGGTGAGGCGTTGCTGGCGGAATGGTTGGGGGAGTTGGAGTTTAGGTATTTTAGGCCGAGTCGGCCGACGCCAGCTTGGGATGTGCCGGCTGTTGAGACGAAGGAGGGTGAAGAGGAAGGAGAGGACGCGCAGGTGCTGAGGAAATTCGAGATACGGTTTAGAGGGAAGAAGGTGGAGGATGTGAATATGTGTTTGCGATCAATGGGACCGGATTACATGGTTGCTACGGCCGTGAGGACACCAGAGGACCCAACTGTTGGGCTAAGATGGAGGCTTGGGCCGTATGAGACATTGGCGCTGGATGACTTGTTGAGCTTTGTAGACTCGGCCGTGTAGCAGGACTGTCGATTCGGCAAGCACAGACAATTTCAATGAAGTGCAGTATGTCAGCCTTCTGGAGCTGTTACGAAAGTATAGTGAATGATACCGATCAAAAAGCGCATGGTTGCAGCTTGTACCGTACTGTAAACGCAGTCAAACTCTCTGGCTAGATATCCTCCACGCTGAATGAGATTTGCGGGTAAATAGGCTTCAACGAAGTCTCCCTGTCTCTCCACAGAGCGTAAGAGCCTCACAAACTTAGGTTTACTCTGTTAATATGGCTCCCACTATGAGCATGGCCATTGCTTTAGACCTACACCTGTATTCTCTAACGGAGGTACGTTGACTTCAAATGTCCAAAATCTTCATGGCTTCGACACAGTTGAAAAGCATCCTTTCCTTACTTAAGCTCGGCTATCTGCAGGGCGCAACTTCCATCTTTCTCGATCATTGACTGATTTGATGATGAGCGACAAACGAGACTGGATATGAACAAGATTCAGACATTGACTTGATGCTCCTTCCTTCCTGTCGTCGACGTGCACCATCTTTGGAGCCGACTAAATTTGTATGGCAATGATATTGGATTTCTTTCTTTATGGGCTTACATCGCATATCGACCAGCTGGATTTCAAGAGAATCAGCAAATATTTATAAATACACAAGCAAATATAAATCGCACTCTATCAGTCGCGGAAACATCGCTTCGATATCCCAATGGAAGAATCTTCATCCACCGGCCAAAAGCTGAAAGTCCACATTCTCCTTACGAATATAACACACACATATAACCTCCAAAGCCCGTTCATCGATATAATTCATCTCATTGACATTTTCCTCTTCGAGCCCTTTCTCTTCCCGTTCTTGCTCCTCCACCCGATCCTTATTGCCCTCCAGCCTCCCCCCACCCACCCACCCACCGCGGAAGCCCGACCCGCGATATCCAGCCCAGCTACATATGATGGTTAGCGTACGCAGGCTGGTAAGGAAATGGCGAAGCGAAATAAGAATAGTAGCCGTCCAAATGGTAAGTGGTCATCACATTCGGCAACATACCAAACATAGTAGCAGCTGACGGATCCTATGCGTCAGTCTGGAATTGTGAGGCTACTTGTTGCTCGGAATGGTGATGATGTCCACCTAATCCCCCAGTTGGAGCATACCGGCCACGAAATCCTCCTCCCCCGCCTCTGCCCCGTCCGCCGCCACGGTAACCACCACCAATGCCGTAATACCCTTGAGACGCAGAATATCCGCCGCCTCCACCGCCACGACCTCCACGACCACCGCCACCTCCCCGGGTATAATCGTTGCCGCGGTGGGAGTGATGGTGGTTGTGCTGGTGTGAGTGCGAGCGCCCACCATGGTTGCTTGATGACTGTGACCTGCCGCTGCCCTGACAAGTCTGTTGCGCCTGGCCAGACCCTGCGGCGACGCAATTAGACTCGGATGGTATGTTGCTGCCACCGGAACCGTCGGGACTGCCGCCAGAGCCAGAGTGACCATCGCTACTACCCGGGCTTTCAGCGCTACCCTGGGCATCTCGACTTTTGATACCTCGTTTTCTGAAGAAGGGGCGTTTCTTGACCTTGGATGGCTTGTGGTCAAGGTTAAACTTTATAGGCTTAACCGGATCCGTAACCATGATGTTTCCCTCCAGGCCTGCCGTCTTCAGGTCCTCTTTGGAGGCTGTCCAAGCCTGAAAAACATTCTCGAGGTTCTCGAATTTTGCTACTTCGGGCACCCACGTCCGAACGTAGGTACCGTCCTTATCGTAGTCAAATGCCTGCTTGACTGGGTTGAAAATCCGAGCCGCACCGCGAGGGTCGTTGCCCACACCAGCTACATATTGCCAGTTGGCCCAGTTGGAGGACACATCGTAATCCACGAGCAGCATCTCATACCACTCTGCGCCATATCTCCAGTCGATCTCCAAGTGCTTGGCGAGAAAGCTAGCAACATTTTGCCGTGTCCGGTTGGATGTGTAACCGGTGTGTATAAGCTCCCGTTGCGACGCATCGATAAGTCCCATGCCTGTGGTTCCGGCGTTGAACCTTGCAAGGATCTCCGAAACTTTTTCAGGAGTAGGTTCCTGTCCAGGCAACGCTATGCTCGTATTGGCAGTTCTCCACCCGTACTTCTTATCCTCACCTTCGTAATCGGTGTGCTTGCCATTGAAGCCCTCTACGCGAAAAAGCTTGTCACCATACTTTTGGTGACACAACCTCATGTAATCGCGCCATAAGAGTTCCATTCTGACGGTCTCTGTGCCTTGATTATCACCTTCACCAAAACCATCAGCCCCTTTGTACTTGGTGCCCGTTCCATCCTCGTAGGCCACCAAAGCGTGGTGGATCTGGCGAGCGGTGACGCATCCCTGTGCGAGGTACGCAGACAACTTGGTGCTGAAATCCGGTCCAAGGAGGCCGTTCCTGGAGTCCTTGTAGCTTTTCATGCCTCCGCTCATGACGAGATGGTCGATTCGCTTATGAGCTGATGTCTCTCCGCCTCTGAACGGGTGGGATGATTCTGCCTTCTCCGGAAAGTCTGGCAGGTCCTTCAGGAAGTTCTTCACCGGCCTGACGACGGCGTCAACCAACTCCTCGCAGGTGCCTGGGATATTGAATGGCGCTTGCTGACTTGGAATCATGTCTGTGTCGAGATATGCAGGCAAGGCCCCCTTTTCAGGTACTGGCAATGTCTTCCTTGCCTTCTCGCGCAAGGGCTCTATTTGTTTTCGGTAGGTGGTGAAGACATCGGGGAGATCGTTGAGATGTGTAATACCTGTATCTCGACTGTAACTCGAGGATTAGTCAATTTATCTTATTTAGGCCTTTCTTTAATCTTTGTCTTTTTCCTCGTTAAAATGCACCATGGGGGCAGGTGGAAGAACCTACTCGTGGATAAGGTATTTCTCGTCATCCCATAGCTTGAAATCTATGCCACTTTTTGCACAAAAAGATGCCACAGTCTTCTCGTCACTCTTCTCCTCTGAGCCTTCGTGGCTTGTCATCCATACAGCTCCAACTTGGCATTCCTTTGCTTTGAGCCCTTCGACCAGAGACTTGATGACATCCTTGTATGGTCCGGCACGGACGAGGAGGTCACTGCCAATCGATTGAAGGCTTGTCTTTAGATCCCAAACCGACTCTGCCAGGAACTTGGCACGATATGGTCCACATCTTGCATACCCTCCAACGGCGCTTTTGGGGGCAGGATGTGGGTTTTCACTCCCCTTTGGAACAAAGCCGGAGAGGTCAATCTGTTGTGCAGGAAAGACGTACACGGGGAGAAGGTGTGAAAACCCGTGTTTCGACTCTGGATTGGCGAGGTGGTGGAATATGGGGTTGTCTGACAAGCGAAGCTCCCTGCGCATCGCATAAATGACAACCTTTGACTGTGCCATATTGGACAACAGGTAAGGATAGGGTCCCTAGAGATATCGGGGTCTTGTCTTGGCGTATGGGATGTTGAAACGTTCACCCAACCCAGCTGGATAGCGTAAGCTATGTGATATCGGATGAAGCTAGACGAAGGTCAAGTGGATATATGGTTATGCCAAGTTGATTTTGGGGTCGTCTGGTCAACCCGGCTGTGCTGTGATGCGCCTTGACGTACGGATATGAAGACTTGCAGGCTCTTAGGATGAAGACTTGCAGGCTCTTAGGATGAAGACTGGACCGGTGCAAGTGTATGTTAGGAGGATGACGATAATGATGAGGCACGAGACGATGTACGCGCGACCAGCCGACGAGGAGGAGGGTATAGTCGACTCAAATATGCCTTCAAACAGCCGTGATGGAGCTAGAACTCGTATGCAGGCGTGTGGTAGATTGTGATGGGAAAGAAGCTGAGCAAGGACCCTGGTAGGCCGGGGAGACTAGTAGAGGAGATGGGGGGAGTGGAGGAGCACGAGAAGGATTTGTGACGACCGAGGACTGGTCCCGGGAACTAAGGGTATGCAACATTCGGACGATGGGGTACATACTGCGATGATGTATCTGTATCTGGAGAGATATGTCTGTCCAGACCCTGCGAGGACAGACCCTGGCAGCAGTTGGCACAAGGACATGATGAGCATCTGGTCGAGGGGCGAATCGTGACATGGATGACATGGCTGATTTCTCGCCGGCAGTCGATGCCCCTTTCCGAGCCATACTACGCCATACAGAAGGGGGGAGAGAGAGAGAGTACTACCGTAGTACCTCGAATAGCTAGACCGAAGTTAATTAGAAGAAGGCCCCAGGAGTCTCCTCCGATGGACATGAGGAACTGGCGATGTGTGGGGCTCAAGAGCACAGCGGGATCGTGAGATGCATCGATGGTGGACGGGAATCCATCATTGGTTTCCTTGGGGACATTTCGAGGACCGCGGTTGCAAGTCAGGATGCAGGGTCCCTGTTCACTCCATTTCCAGTGTCGTGGTTATCCGGGAGGAGTGTGTGGACATCGAAGTCCGTCAATGGCGGCAGACCTAGGTAAGCAGAAGGTGTCGCCATTCCATTGTCATTTCCCCGGCCGTTAACCGGTTGCCGCATGCCCAGACCATGACGCATCTGCATCCAGTAGTAGTCCAGGGGCAATATTACTATCTGCTAGCTCGCAGTCCTTCCTTCCCTTGGTACATACCTCTCTCTGGATTTGCCCCGTACATAAGGTACAACAGAAACATGTGCGAAGGAGCAAGAGACTCACAAGAATGGAGGAGGAAGGAAGGAAGGAAGGAAGGAAGCTGGCACTGGGCTGCTGAGGCTCTGATCGGATGAGACGAGAATTACATCTTTGTCCGTTTTAGGAAAGGACAAGTAGAAATAGCTTGCTCTGTGTGGTTGCGTCTGCGTGAACTGGAGGAAGCTACTATGGTGAGATGGGGCGGCGGGGCAGGGAACGGCGCGATCTCAACGACATGTCTTGGCACAGCGTGATCGGTTGGGCGCACTGTACGTACAATCCAAGTCAGGAAAATTCGACTGAGTGATGAAGGTGGGTCGCCAAGAATGGCAGGCCAGTCCCAACCAGAGTTACCGGGGCTGTGGAGGTTTTGTCCCTGGCAGAAGGCCTGCTGCCAAGATCCAGCCAAAATCCTCGACATTCCTCCACACCTTTCCGCAACACTACGACTAAAAAGTAACCTTAACACCCACCCGCCCGGTGCGGACAACTCCAGACTCCCATTTCAGCTTCCTTCTCTCGAAGCTCAGCTTAAATCACAAGATGACGGACGTCGTAATGATTATGGGCATTTCTTTCGGATGTATCCAAGCCGTTTCCTTTGTTTTTTTCCCCCTCATCCCCAGGTACCTCAAATTTGACAAGGAGTACCTCAAGTCCCTGACTGGGTCGAATCTATCCTCGAACCTGCGGTAGGTTGGCTCAAGTTGGAAGAGGTATGGAGGCACCGAGCAAGGGACATGCCACCAACTGATAGTAGATGTTTTCCATCACAAAAACATCACAAAACCAAGCAATGTCGGTGAGGGCTTGCTCCACCCCGAAAGACCTCGCCAGCAACCGCGACCGAAGGAAAGATGGCTTTTTGGAAATTACCATCCAGACTCTCCGCCATGTCTCGTTCTCCCGCCGGCCTTTCTGCTGGGGTTGATATTGTGACTCGCGACCCTGCAACGCCCAAAACGTGCTGCGGGTGCAACACCCACTAAGCGCCTCGCTGAGGTTATCCTAGAAAGAACCCTTTCGGTAATTGCATTTCCTTCCTTTTCTTCCAACTAACTGCCGCGGATGCTGCTCCGTTTCTAGTGCAACCTCCTGCGTCAAGGTCCATCTCCACCAAGCTATCGATTTTCCGAGCAGCCTCTAAAGCCTCCTAGAAGCCTACTAGCAACACATTGCTCGGAAGAGAGACATTCCGGGGAAACATTGCCGATTGACGGGTCCCGGAACCTTCCGTCATATCTCTCGCCGGCTATTGACCCTGAGTCAATGGCAGTGACGGTGACGGTGCCCGTCTGAAGATATTAATCCACGCAAGGCGTTCCTTGGTAGACCAGGTGAGCGCGGGTTCGGCTATTGTTCGGGCGTGATTACCAGTACCCTGACCAACGAGCTTTCATACGGTCCTTCTAGGCTTCAGAGGTCCTCATCAATGCTTCCATGTGCTTTTCAACTAAATGGTTCAGAGTCAGTCAGGCATATGACCCCATTTCCTTGTCCGGTTATTGCGCCATTTTTTTTCTCGTCCCTTAAAAACATTTGAGGATCTTGAGCCTAAACAGTCAGCCGTCTGGCTAATGGGCTTACAGCGCATTGCTAAGATACCAGTCACGTAGCTGGAAGTCGTTCAAGAGTTTATTTTTGGGTATTCAGAAAACCTTATTGACTACAAACCCCTGTCGGGAAAAGAATAGCGCAAAAACCGGTTAAAACGATGAACGAGGGCGTCCATGTGCATGCTATCTTGCAGACAAAAACAACGGAGTGTTACGACATCTTACACTAGTCAATCGCATTACGTTGACTGCCATGTACCTATTTACATGAATGGCACTGTGGCTCAAGCGGTTGTCGAAACCGCAGCGAAGCTTTTAGAGGCTTCGTTGAACGTGAACCCCCGCCGCTTGCACTTCGGACAGGACCTCTTCTCGTCTTCAAGCAGTGTACTCATGTGATGCAGAGGACCATCATTCGGGGCCCATCCTTGAATCCCTTCAGTGACCCATTCGGCCGGTATTTATCAGTCTGAAAGACCTTGCCCATGGTGCTTCCTTCCGATTCGCCCATTGATCTCGGGATCAGATCCATTCAATCTCTCGACGTGGGCGAGTTGGCAACTGAGACCCTTATCCCTAGCTTAAGATACGATCCAAATGAAGAAATTCAGGGTCGTCAAGTCCCCAGGTCCAATTTTTGCTAGACGTCAATCCCGAATCCCAACGGACTGGCAATGTCTCACATTGAATGGAGCCAGGAGCCATGCGAGTATAACATGTTTCGTATCACCGCAACGCGTGCCAGCGCCAAAAAAAAAAATGATTGCTTCGAATCACTTTGATACTAAGAAGGGCCGTTGGAATGGCTTGCGCTTCAAATCCATCACTCCACCCCGTTCCCTAAACGGCAACTTGAGCTTGTGTCTCGGCATCCGGAGTTCACTTTGGATTAGAACGCTGTTCAGAAGATCAGCACGCCTCTAATGGAAATCCCCAGCCTATTCTTTGATCAGGGCTGGTATGTAAGATCGGCAACCAGCATCTTCAGTTGTGCAACTGTTACAAACGCATATGGAGTACAGCGTAGGTACACGGCCGAACAAAGTTTACGAACAATATCACTGCAGTATGGCCAGCTAAACCTACCGCCTATCGGTTTCCCATATGCCGTATATGTTAACAGACCAACATCACCACGCGCTGAGGTTCATTCACTATTCGAGGCTTCGAACGTCATTCGCTGATTTGGTGGTTGCAGTGGGGGATGGCGTTCCGATGATATTTAACGTCTTCCTCTGTGATGTATCATAACGTTATTCTTTCCGAGGATCGTTAACATACATCCAATCGCTTTGCCCTTTCTCACCACGAGGAACAGCAGCCCGATACTATAACTACACACACCACTTGAAAATGAGTCGAAATGTCGGTCTGATTGATTTGGATTTGTAGACGAAGTTTTCCAAGGTTAGGCGAAGAGGATTTCTACTATTCTCCTCATTGTGGAAAATTTCCGAAGGAGCACAAAGGCATTGGTTTCGAGGTACACTACACACCCAAAACCTAGTCAACCTACTGTAACAGAAAGAAGGAAATGTCTCAGGAGAAGACAATTCGGTGTGGAATTTCCAATAACACGCAAGTGTCCTGTCGTGTACACTTGTCTCTTGACGTTGTTTCTCCGACAAAAACTGCCGCCATGGAAGCAGACTCTTTGCCTTCCGTTGGTCTTACTGCAGTCGAAGAAGAGACAAGATAGACAACGTGCATTCCTACTCACGACTCTTGTTGCGAAAATCACGTTCTCGGCCCATCGGTCCTCAAAGTTGTCACAGGGCTCTCTGATCCACATTTTTTCGCAAGCATACACTCATCGATCACAAAATGCAGGTGAACCCCCGCAACCAATTCCTCGTCACAGACCAGACTCGTTGAATCAGACCCTTCTCTTCGTTCCCCGATCTCCCTATTTGAGCGTGACTTCCCTCATCAGCACGTGCGCCAACCCGTGGGGCCTCTCGGAGCCATTCACCCCAATCCAGCATGTCAAGGGACCCTATTGTTAGCAAACTGGAAATGCTAATGCCGCTATGTACACGTGTACGTTGCCTTTCCCGGCTCGGCAACGGGGCTCCCCAGCCAAACATTACGCCGTGCCTACATACTGTGCAATTCAACATACCGTACGTGACGCCGTGAGGTTACAAGAGACTGGGGAATGCTTACCGAGGGATCATCATCGCCTCGTCATCGGCCGAGGGACATGGCAGGGGAAAAGGTCCCCTAATTCACGTAGGCGAGTAGGGTCGTGGGTAAAGTAACCCGTTCTCTTACCCTCTGTCTCCATCTCAAACCTGCCATAGCCATCGCTCTACCCGCTCGGCCGCTGCCATTGCCTACCTTCTCATCAAGGTCGAAGCAAAGACGACAGGAATCATTACACAAGCTTCCCAGTACGACTTGTGATGCCTGAAGCCGAGTCGGAGCCGAGCGAAATCCATTCGCAGAGCCCGCCCGCAAAGACCCTCGTTAAAGATCCGGTAAATGGGCCGGATGGATCCCCACGGTTTGTTCACTAACAAAGGTAACTGATCGGCAATCCCAGGTCGGGGACTAGGGACTATGTAGAAAGTCGGAATTCAGTCCTCTGCTCTTTATGGGTGAGAGTGTGATAAGAGAGCCTCGATCCGCTCTACCCCTCCAGCTGCCAGGATGGGTAGAAGAAACATTTGAAAGTGAAGCGAACGAAATGATGGAGTCCATTCTCACTCAATCTTTGGCTCCATCTCCCTACCGCCTTTTTTTTCTTTATCGTCACTTTCTTGTTTTTGACCCCCCACCCCCTCACTTTCTCCAGGCTCCACAACAACCTCGGCTTGCAAGGTATCAACATGAACAGCAACATGTTTTTTCCTTTGTAAAAGGCTTGATGCCTTCACTGGCCTCGCCCGTACCCAAGACCCAGTCTGATAACGGACAATCGTCCATGGCCCGTGATTGGCGTTTCCCCAAGTCCCCTTGCTCATATTGAGTGGTCTCGAGGTTTTCGGTGAAAGAATATTCCGCTAGTGTAGAGCCGGTCCCTTTGATACATAATTGCGAGATCATCATGGCCTGATGTTGAATCTTTTTGGAGGGTCCGTTGACTGCCCCAGTCCTTCAAGTGGATGAATCGTAATCACGGCCAATTGTCCGTAGCTTGTGATTGGCTGTATCTTGCGGGTTGGGGAGGTTGAGGGACGTTGGAGTGAATCCCTTTAACTGCTCAAATGTATCATTTTTGCCAAGACCGGGGAAGACTTGCAGTACTTCGCGACTTTCCCAACGCAGCCAAGCAAAGCGGGCCAGGGTATCCATGCAAAAGATCGACGATGAGAAAAGTATCTTTTTTTCTAATAAAACTAATAATTTTGCATTAGTCTTTGGAGTATTAGAATAGAAGTATATAATCCTTTTGTCGAATGTAAGTATTACGAGATTTGTGCCCGTTGTGTTGAGGTTTGAAAAAAAAATCGTGTTTTCGTTTTGTGCGCGACGAGGGTGATCCTATTGGTTGATTGGTCTCCATACCTGAAGTACTATAAAAGTTGGTGAAATTCAGGTATCTACATGGGTGCAGATGTAAAGGTGGATAAAATACGGCCAACCGATTGGCCACTTTTTGGTCTTGGCGAAAGTGATACATTTGAGCAGTTAAAGGGATTGGAACTTGGACAAGGGAAAAGGTCTTGGCTTCTTGGCTAGACCGGAGTCAAAGTTCCCGCTCCCCCCAACGAACCCGACGACGAGTGCTGGTGAGTTTGGAAAACCGTAAGGGCGGTCCGGTCCGGCCCGGTCCTCAACCAACACCCCTATTCACTGTTTCGGCGACTACCACGAGATTGGACATTGGGAAGTGAAGAGAACGAAACAAGGCGAACAGTCAAAGTCAAAATCACTGGCTTATCAATCAACCACTGTGTAAAATACACTACTACACTAGGTAGAGTTACCGCTTCTTATCATCCAACCCGGATTCGATCTCCACTGTTCTGGCCAATCATGAGGTCTGCCTGCCACGTTGCGGCGTCGCTTGCAGGTCATTTTATACACTAGGAGGTAATCGGTAGGATAGTTTGGGGATGAATTCGGCTTGGATGTCCGGTTGTGAAGGTCTCCAGGAGACCAAGATGGCTGTTTTTACGAATTGGTTATTGGGTACCGTAAACCACTCCCAGCATCTCGCTGCTCAAGCTTACAAGAGACTCTCCTATGAAAGCGGACACGGTTAAGCGAGGCAGGATGCAGCGAACAGAGGGTCGAGTGACTTGAGTCTCCCTGGAGGCATTTGAGGGTGAGGCAGGGTACCTCTGGTAATCAGAAGATACCTGATGTGTACATGGGAGGAATCCATCGAGAATGTGAGATGAGTTAGAAGTTGGGTGATGACTTTGCTCGAATGGGCAATGTTTGGAGGTTGGTTGAGTAAGCGGGAAAATCACGGGATATAGAAGATAGAAGCCGAGGCTGATGATGATTACACTATCTAGTCTTTGGATATATTTGTGTTATCAAGGATTCGATTACAATACCTCTCTGTAAAGTCTCGCGGTCTATATGCTCGCTCCAATCATATCTAATGAAGTACAAACGAAACCAAGGCAAGAGCACGCTTCTAGAGAAACCGGAGAAGCAGTGCAACCGGGCAAGACAAATAAATATAGATAGACACCTCCAGCTCCTACTTAGAAACGAGCATTCTCACCCTGATCAGCCAATCCGCTAACCGTCAATCCTCCCTTCCCGCTCTTCCCCTTTCCACCCACAAACAAAGCCTCCGCAACAACGGTTGCCTTACCCGTCTTTGCATCATGTATCGACGCATCCAGGAAGATCTTGTAGTGGCTTTTGCCGCGCTCCTTCTCCGGCAGCTCGTCATCGCTCCTTGGTTTGACACGAATGACGTAGAACTTGGTAGCGTTCGTAGTCGACACGTAGTTCAGCTTCAAGTTCGCCGTCAGTCCAGACCGGCCACCCCACTTCTTGAACGCCGCGCGGCCGCAGCTCTCGTCGAGGAGAGTCGCCAGACAGCCGCCGTGCACGACGCCGGGCCAGCCTGTGGTGGCGGGGCCGAAGAAGATGACGCTGACGCACTCACCCGTGTCCTTGTTGTAGAAGACGCGGTGGTAGCCGCCGATACCCTTTGAGCCGGCCATTGCGCCGGCCGAGATGTGCTGTGCCCGGTGCTCCGGGCTAAGCGTCTCGTATGCGTCCCAGGACTCCCAAGCTGGGTCGGCTTGAAGTTCCTGGACAATCTTTAGGTTTTCCGCTTGCCGGTGGATGATCTTGGTCTCCATGAGGTCAAGCTCAGAGCCCGGAACCAGAGGGGGCGGGGGAGAAACGATCGCTCTGAAGCCGAGGCCGAAGACGGCGCCGAAGAGGAGGAGAGACCCATAGCCGATAATCTTCCATACACGACTGCGCTTCTTGGGCTGAGGGGCGAGCTCAGGCTGTGGATGAACGGGCTGTGGCTGAGGCGGCTCGATTTGGCGCCATGACTGCGAAGTCGAAAGGAGCCGGAGTTGATGTGGTACTGGTGAGTAAGTTGTTGGAAGAGTCTTGCACGATCCCCTGAAACCGACCACAGAAGCGCGTGGAGTGGCTGTTGAGGGTTGCGCTAGTGCCACGGCCAAAACCCGGCGCTGCTGTTGAGGGTTGTACCGTATTCTGGAAGCCATGCTTCTCTTTCTATGAAACAGTTACTGATCACCTTTCCGCTTCTGTGATGGGGCAGACGGGATGACGACGACGGAGGAGACGCGGAGTCGGGGCAACCACAGAGACAATCCAGGGGTACGATGTTGGCCACAGGGTTTCAGGATGCCTGTCCCAGGGGCCAGGGTTCCGGGTTCAAAGAGTGTTCTGGACCTTTCAGTTACAGTTGCTGATTATGGCTGGATGAGACCGAGAAAAGGCGTTGGTCGTCCTGAGTAGTGTACGTAGTGTAGTAAGATTGGGCCACGATGGTGTTGCGTTGCTGTTGCCGAGCCTGGGTCGACACGGTTGAATTGCCCTGGCCGACTTGCGACAGCCATCTCCGGCTCGTGTGATTGGCCAATCCCCCGGACGGATCTCCGGGGCTGCCGTCTCGGCAAGGGTCTGTGCATTGTGCATCAAGGTCTCCGGGGAGATCCACCACTGAAAGAGTGCCTGTCTGTGCTGTGCAGTCTGTGCCTGAGAGTTCGATGCTGTGCTCCCGATCATCACAGGGTTCTCTGCCATCTCAATCGACGACGGGACCTTTTTTTTTTTTTTTTTTTTTTTTAACCATCACCAAACTCATCTCCAGCTTCAACCGCCCGTCAGTTACTAGCTATCACACCCCACCCCAACGCTTACTCAATGATCGGCCGGCCCAGTACCACTTTCTGGGTCTCTGCTGCATGATAGTGCGCGTCACATATGCGACGTCCTTTGATTGCACAAAATTTCCCTGATCGCCGCACGAGCTGTCGATAGCCGAGCACAACCATAGAGATCAGATAGATTGAGTAATGAACTCGTCCTGTCATCTCAAGCTCACGCAAATGAGAAAGCGCTCCGGAGAAGAACCGACCGTACTTCCATTGTTCGGATGACAGGCTTTGCTTCTGTCTGTCTGTCTGTCAGATGTATACCGGACATGACATCACAAGTGCACGTCTTTGCTTAGTGAGAGCAGTGTTTACTTAGCACGCGATGTACTGTGTAGGCAGCGCAACAACCGAATGGGACTCTTCCAGCAAAAGAGTCAGACTCGTCGCTTAAGTTGGGCTCTCGGGCATGAAGCAATCAGAATGCCTACCTTATCGTTTTTCTTTTCTTTTTTGGTTATCCGCGATGGCCCGTTGGCGTACTTCCCCTCCCGAGCCTACCAACTTCCCCATTTATTCCAATGCTTGGCAAGCGGACGCACTTCCGATGTTTCTCCCGGCCTCTGGATCCGAACATCATGGGAGCTCCAACGTCTCGGATCCTGGACCTGCCGTGGTCGACGTGGCCGTTCCAAAGTCTCCGTCGACTCGATGCTCTTCTCGATTCCATTGTCCCTGGCATATATTTGAAGTGGCCTAGTTCTTCCTTTTTCTCTCCCGATCCTCTTCCATCAGAGTCTCTGCTCTGGACTCATTCGACGTGTCGGTTGCCTCTCTTAGCAATCCGGGCCTTTCACAGTCAGGACAAAGCCAGACCGACGCCTCAGCACCAACCTCCATAGGTTTCTTTCTCATGTGCACAGGTCTTGCTTCATCTCTCATGACAAGATAAGCTTCTGCGTCTACGGCTCTATATGACAATAGCGCCAACAAGCTATAGAGACTGCCCAAGATGTACGACTATGCTTTTGTGTGAGTACCAGATCTGAAAGCCACCACCCTTTAGTCCTGGGAAACACCATTGCTGATGAGATACATGATAGTCACTTAAAATTCACGGTACCCGTGGCGGTACTTCTCACCGCTATCGCCTATCCTATTCTCAACAGGATACATCTCATTCAAACAGGCTTCCTCGTCTGCGTCGCCTTTACCGCCGCTCTGCCATGGGATGCATACTTGATTGAGCAAAAAGTATGGTCTTACCCACCCGAAGCCATTGTTGGGCCGCGTTTACTTGGAATCCCCTTTGAAGAGCTGTTCTTCTTTGTCATACAGACTTACATCACGGCGGTCGTTTACATCCTCTTCAACAAACCGGTGCTGCACGCGTTGCACCTCAACAATCAACAAAACCCGCCAGCATGGATGAGGGTCGCCAAGGTTACCGGCCAGGTAGTCCTCGTAGCCTTGTCGGTATGGGGATGGAAGGCCGCTCAGGTTCATCAGGAAACAAGCTATCTCGGCTTGATCCTTGTTTGGGCTTGTCCGTTCTTACTGGCTATCTGGACCCTTGCTGGGCGCTTCATTCTCAGCCTACCATGGTACGCGACGGTGGTCCCAATGTTCCTACCCACCTTCTATCTTTGGGCGGTAGACGAGTTTGCCTTGCACAGGGGTACTTGGTCCATCGGATCGGGGACGAAGCTTGGATTTTGTCTGTTTGGCAAGCTGGACATTGAAGAAGCCACGTTCTTCCTGGTGACCAACATGCTCATCGTTGGCGGTATGGCCGCGTTCGATCAATATCTGGCCGTCATTTACGCTTTCCCAACTCTGTTCCCCAAGGTCAACCGGTATCCGACACCTCATATGCTTCTTCAAAGCCGTCTTATCAACACATCCAGGTACGATCTTGAGCGCATTGAGGGCCTGAGAGAAGCGGTCGAGAGACTGCGCCTGAAGAGCAGGAGTTTTTACCTGGCCAATTCGCTCTTTTCTGGTCGACTCCGCATTGACCTGATCCTGCTGTAAGTACCCATTCAGCCTAATCAAAGTTCCGGACTTGAATTAACAAACCATTTCAGGTACTCCTTCTGTCGCCTGGCCGATGACCTAGTCGACGACGCCAAATCCCGCCGCGAGGTCTTGTCCTGGACCGCGAAGCTGAACCACTTCCTTGATCTGCACTACAAGGACTCGGACGCCACCGAGGACCCCAAGAAAAAGGCGGAGCGAATCGACGCCTACATCAAGACAGCGTTCCCTCCCTGTGCCTACCAAGCCCTCCACCTCCTGCCCACTCACATTCTTCCTCCCAAGCCTCTATACGATCTCATCAAGGGTTTTGAGATGGACTCCCAATTCACCTTCCACGGTAATTCCGACTCTACGGATCTTCAATACCCCATCGCCGACGACAAGGACCTTGAAAACTACGCTATCTATGTTGCCGGCACCGTCGGCGAGCTCTGCATCGCCCTCATCATCTACCACTGCCTGCCAGACATGTCGGACAACCAGAAGCGCCAGCTCGAGACCGCCGCGTGCCGGATGGGTATCGCGCTGCAGTACGTCAACATCGCTCGCGACATCGTCGTCGACGCACGTATCGGGCGCGTTTACTTGCCTACCACCTGGCTCAAGACAGAAGGGTTGACGCACAAGATGGTCTTGGAGAACCCCGAGGGTCCCGAGGTCATTGAGCGGATGAGAAGACGGCTTTTGGAAAATGCGTTTGAGCTGTACGGGGAGGCGAGGCCTGAGATGCAACGGATACCGAGCGAGGCAAGGGGCCCGATGATTGGTGCCGTTGAAAATTACATGGCGATTGGAAGGGTATTGAGGGAGAGGAAGGAGGGGACGGTGTTTGTGAGGAAGGAGGGGAGGGCTACGGTCCCGAAGCGAAAGAGGTTGAGCACGCTGTTGAGGGCGCTGTATGAGCAATAGACGGTGGTGGTGGTGGTGGTTGGTGGTGTTAGGCTAGTTCGATGTGGTGTGTTCCGGCATAGAAGGTTTGATGACTTTAGAGTTCCTTTTGTTGTCTGTATATATCGTCCTCTTTATGTATAGCAAAAAGTTGATGACTCGTGGGAGATTATATGAGATGTTAGAATCCCGGAACAGGTGTAAGTGAACAATGAGGGTCGAGATCCAGGTGGTTCAGATAAGATGAGACGATATCAGGATGTGGTCGAGATTGAGCACATCCGATTGGACCAAATTGATTACTTGCAATGCGGTGCGCTGCATAGGTATGTGCGATTTGCACCCTCGTGCGTGGCCAGATGTGCTTCCAAATTGCATGTGTATTTATTCGGGTATGCTGCCTAATGGATAGAGGCATGTTCTTACTTGAAATTCACTACTTACAGGTAAGTACCTAACTTGACAATCTATTTATCTACGTGTCTGAAGCTTCCTATCTGTAATACCTGTCTTCTAAGATGAATTTTCAATAGGATAACTTTCAGGGAAGCCCAAACTTGTACACTATGAACAGTGATGTCCGTGGTTAGTTACGTTAGTGCAAGGCTGAAAACACAATATGACTTTGAAACGAGTTTAAACAAACTTCTCAAGACGGATCTCCTAACACATGTTGCACAATCACGACTTTTACCGTGTTCCACAATATTCACCAAAGCTGACCACGAGGGCAGCGATCTGTGTCAGTTTGACTTACATCACTTGCATCTCGTTCGACGACCGAAAACTTGTTGACCCACAAGGCTGCCAACACTGTATTCAAAACGCTTCTGGACACTCCAGAAACTGTCACGAGTTCTGTTCCGCAAGTGTACGGCATCACCACTTAATCTCTTGGATGTCTCGTATAGTTCCTTCTTTTTCCTTGGCAGATAGCTTGTCGTCGGCTTCGGCAAGTGTAACCGTTCATCAAACCCACCTGCCTAGCTTCTGGGCGAAGAAAAAAAAATAAAATAAAAAACAGAAACAAAGATAAGAAAGGTTCAGTGGAATGGTGTAGACCGATGAAGATCATATCAAGTTTATTCGGAGTTTGATAGTATTGTCCAACATTACTACTTGGCGTGGTTCCCCAATTCCGGACGCTGTCGCCGATTTCGATGCGAGGGATGACTTAATGGAAAGATGGAGGGAGGAAGAGAGGATGACGTCGGCGGCGCAGGAGAGAAAAGGTCCAGTCCATGACGGAAAGATGAGGTGGTCAATGCTCTCTGTGTACGCGCTATGTGGAGCAATGGGCATTATTCTAGGTTGTTCATAGGGTCGGGTTTAATGCTTCATGATTGGTACAAAGCAGCAGAGCATAATGGATAAGTGGGGCATTTTACTTTCTCTTTTAGGAAGAAGGGTCGCAGTGACGTCCAGGCGACCCAGGTCGCTGCCGCAGGGGGTGCTTGAAGGCCTGCACTGCCCTGGTGTGCACTGCGGGACTGCACTGCAGGAGCGGGTTCCCGCAAACAGCATTTGATGGTCGGCATCTGCCATGAGCTCTGGGCCTTTTCTGGGCGCTGCGTCATGCATCGTCCGTTGTCCCCACCAAGCAGACGTGATGATTGTCACTTCTCAAAAGTTCGACAACCACAAAGCCTTCATTCTGACCCGTTCATATGATGATCAGTGGGTAAGTAGGGTAGAGGTAAGCTCAGCTTGATGGGAAGTCAATGAGACCAAGGGACTGGATTCTGTACGTACGTCGGTTCGGGTGCTACCCCAAATGTCTTGATCTGAGGTTGGAAAACCCTTTCCTGATCTGCCACAGTCCCATCCATCCCTTCAACATTCCCACATAAAACCCTCCAGCCGCACTGTTTTCCAGCTCTATATTTTGATGTCTTTGAACTTGACCCTTATTCGATCCAGAAGTAATACCCTGTGATACCCCAGAGCCGTTCTCAGTATCGTGATAAAGTCGTTGGGTGGTAGAACCACCTTGATCTGTTATCATTTTCCCACTTATACTCTCGTCCCCTCGGATACCCAGCAAACATACCTATCCAACGCATTTCTTTCAGCCACAAACCTATCTAAACCGCGGTTGCTTTCATCACTTGTCTTGGGTCAGTACATAAGGTGGTACAAGTAGGTGCACTGCATCGACGACGTAAGTCAATCCGATCCGGGCCCCTCTTCCACGTTTCTTTGATCCTGCCGTCCCTCTCACCGATATCTTGACTGACACTTACGGTACACCGTGATTATAACAGCATTCCTAACCTTTAAACCTAATAACACCCTACTCTTCCTGTTACAACCATTATTATCAACCTAGAAGTCTTTACAAACAGTTCATCAAGATGAACAAATCTCGTAAGTTGATACTACTCGCCGTCCCGCTTACCATCTTCAACCACATGATCCCCTCCACAACAGGTAACTAACAGTTGTGCCCCCACCAAAACACAGGCCCCCTTCTCGCCCTACTCTCCCTCTTCTTCATCGCCATCTCCCTCATCCTCCTATGGTTTGTCATCCTCTCCGGCATCACGCGGACCTCGCCCCTTCGACAGACCTACTTCCTCCGCGCCGACACCAGCGGCATCAGCGGCGCCCGCGACGTCTCCCAATGGACCTACTTCAAGGTGTGCGGCCTCAACAACCTGGACTGCGGCCCCGCCCGTCCTGCGCTGCCCCTCGGTGATGCCTGGGATAGCAACCATTCTGGTGCGCCCGCTGGTCTTACGGGCAAATATGGCGGACACACGACCAGCCATTACTTCTGGTACATGTGGCGTTTCGGCTGGGTCTTCTTCCTGCTTGCGCTCTTCTTTGAGACTTTGGCTTTCTTCTCGGGCTTCTTGGCTTGTTTGGGACGCGTGGGCGCTGCGGTGTCGGGAATGATTGCTTCTTTGGCGCTGGTTATGTTCAGTATCGCTGTTGCTTTGATGACGTATGTGTTTGCTCCCCAACTACCCTTTCCCACCTGTTCCCCCTCTCCTCCCCACCCCAATCCTTCTTCCCCGCACCCCTACACTAGACCCCAACAAATCGTCGGCAACAGAGATACATGGAAGTCATCATGTAACTAACTAACCCCCCTCACAGCGCCACCTTCGTTAAAATGCGCAACCATTTCCACCGTGACGGCCGCGAGGCCCACCTCGGCCGGTACGCCTTCGGCTTCGCCTGGGGCGCCTGGGCCGCTTTAGCCATCAGCACCGTCTTGTTCCTTTTGGCCATGCTCAAACGCGACAAGAACCACTACGTCAACCGCCGCGCCACTTATGCTACCGAAGGTCACGATCACGTTGTCGCCGACGGCCCCGTGACGGGCCCTAGCGGAGGAAGAAAACGTGGCGTTTTCAACTGGGGCCGCCGTAGCAACAGTGGCAAGTCCTTCGATGGACGGAGGGTTAAGGATGACTACTAAATGCAATGCGCAACTACACAGCGAGCAAACCGCCGGTCATAACGCCATCGCCGGCGCCGCCGGTGATGAGCGGTGGTCCGGCGCCGGCACCGGCGTTGGGAATGGCGATTCTGGATCATTCTTATGCGGATCCGTATGCGCCTTACCGACCGCCCCGTCTTGCGAGATCAGGCCTGGCGACTTCAAACCTATGAGTTAAACAAACAAGAAGAAAAAAAAAAAAAAAAGGGACGAGAAAGGAACAAATAAAGAGGAGATGCCTGTTGGTCGGACGGACATTTGGACGTGTGATATATGATGGCAAGATGGTTGGTTGCAGCTTTAACGCGAGACAAACCTGACGAGTCTTGTGATGATGAAATGAAAATGAGAGATGATACCTTTTGGGAGGGGGCGGAACGTTTGTTTTTGCTTGGATTAGTTTGGTTCTTTTTCTAAAGGAAAGTTTGACGAAGGAAGAAAGAGAAAGAGACTTGAGATACATCTTGTAAAGGCGCGAGCCTTTTTCTTGATTGGCGGTCCTTAATAGTCTCTTTGTTTTCATTCTTACCTTTTGGCGTTCAATGTCCTATGCAACCTTTAATTAATTGATACATCACCTTATGATTGCGTTGACCGATCATGCGTGCTGTGTGAATGAAAATGGAGTTATGGTGGCTGAATAAACCGGTATTTGGATGACTTGTGAAGATCAATGTACCCATAAGAACATGTTTACATGACCAAATAACCACGGAATGGCGTCAAAGGCGCTTCGAGCCCTGACAAAGTATCGGAACGCCCGATTCATGATCATAATATTACCTCTACGCACAATGTGATATATTGGCAGAACCTGGAAAGAGCGGACCGCTTGCCATAGGAAACGAGAAGAGAAGAAACTCTTGTTCGTCTGGATTTAGAAAGGAAACAATACCCAGATCGAGTGACCAGGCCTCCGTTTACTGTTCAGACACCTAACTCAACGTCACTTCATATCACTGGTTCAGCATTTCAAAGGTGGATAAAAATTGAAATATAGAGAAATAGATACAACAACAAAAAATCCCAACGGAGATTTCCGGATTCTACCGTGTACTTGAATCCCAGTAATGCTCATGCTACCCGCCCTTCCTTCTTTCCTTCCCCTGTATTTGTACTTGTATGATTGTACACACGCTATAAATGAACAGGTGGATAGCAGAAAAAGAACACGACAAGATGAGCGCATTCAACTAGCCTACGAGAGAGACAAACAGTCAAATAGATAGATCACAACTCATCTAAGCGGTAATGCCCGGGCTCACTTGATCCAGCGGTGCAGCGTGCAGAGCGGGCTTCTCGGCCTTATCACTGAGCAAGCCCTTGAGCTTGCGGTCCAGGACGTTGGTGACCCACTCAGCAACCTCACGATCGCCCTGATCGTTGATCGGTCCGTTACTGTTGATGTCGAGCGAGCCGGTGGCGTCGGCGAGCTGGTCGTCCGCGGCCTCCTCCTCGGCTTCCACTTCTTCCGTGATGGTCTCGGGCCTGCCGAGGGACTTGATCCATGGGTGCATCAGCAACATCGGGTAGGTGTGGCGCTTGGCAGGGATCTTGTTGAGACAGGATTTGA